CTTGAGTGCAGTTATTCTCTTCATTTTATATTATGGAATATAATCGTAGGTCAGGGCGCGTATTGGGGCAGAGCCAATACTTGTCCATCCCTTATTCTTGCTTAAATGGGTGAATGGGTCAGGACCTGACATTTGCCCAGGATCCATGTCTACAGGTTCTGCCTGGATCCGTACCCGCTTTCGATGACTGCTATTAAAATCTTAAACCAGAAGGGAGGCTCTTTCAGGTAAATTTATGTTACATATCAGAGACACAGAAGCTCAAATGGAATTCTGAGGAAGGAGAGGGCCCTCGTGGGTGAAATTCATCTGTGTCCATTTCCTCACCTGGAGAAACTGGAACGTGGGATCCAGCATTCTGGCCTAGTTTTGCTTGGCCATTGTCTCTTCTAGGGATGTCCTGTGGCTCTTCTTAATCTGCCCCTTTTTGCCACTGTCCTTTTACTAGGATAAACCATCTCTGGCCTCCTCGGACAGTCCTATCTTAATGTCACTGAGCCCTTGCAGGAAGAATGCTCTGCATGCCCAGGGCTTCCCCCACTGCTCACAGCCCTGGCCCTCTAAAGAGGGGACCTCACTGGAGTTTCCCCACGTCTTCATTTTCTTTGAAAGGGAATTGAGGATAAAGCCTTAGTATTTACTTTCCACCCCCCCCCCCACTTATTCTCTGTGTAGCAGAAATTCCTCAAAGTCTGAGCCACGTAGATGATCTCTTCCTGTAGCTTCCAGTGCTCATGCAGGATTTTTATGATTCTTACTGCTGGGATTTGGAAACAAAGATGCTTGTGTTCCAACTGCTGTCTTACCCTGTTTGTTTTATGTTTATTTTGAACATGAAATTCGAAAACGAAGTTCGGAAAAACACGGATACCTGAGAGACAGAATACTTAACTAATTTCTTTCTCACTCGAGAGCTACAGTTCTCTTAGATTCGTTTCATGCGTAACAGTAAGAAATATTTTGAGAAAATTGCATTCCAGGTTAAGGGCATGCAATGAGCAAGGGCACAGAGACAGGACGTACAAGGAACAGAACTTCAGGTCGTTAGGCTTATGGTCCGAAAGCAGGGTGGGTGGAGGGAGTCCTAGGTGAGAAATCTCTCCATCACTGGTAAGGGCCTGGAGCTGGGCTTGATTCAGTTTTTCAGGAAGGAGCCCTTGCAAACACGTGATCGACATGACTGACCTTCTTTATGGATACGGATCTGCCGGTTGGGAAGGTAGCAGTTGTAATGTGACACATCCCAGAGGTAGTTAACTTCTGAATACTTTGAGTATGTACAAGAGCTCACATATCCTTGGATCAAAATAGACACCACCGCCAGGTATCCTGTATGATGAAGTAGGTGCTGTGGAAAACCCACACCGTTTGAAGACCGTTCTGTAACCAAACAAGGAGACCAGTGAATTCGGGAGATTCGATAACATTTTTAAAATAAAAGATAACTGCAGACACACGTGCATATATACATTTAAATTATAACAAAAGATAAATAAGGTAGACCAACAGTGAGCATAGGACATGGTCCTTGCTTCCAACTGCCCGTCATTCTCAAGTATGTGTTGCTACTTCCTAAGAGCAGATTATTGCATAAAAATAAGAGCAATGAAATACTGATAGTATTTTTAAAAATATGTGTTAAAATAATTTTTAAGAAGAAAGACCGTCAGTATTATTTTTTTAGATAGGCCTGGTATGCCTCACAGGACACCCAGGCGTTACAGAAAATCTGAGAAGGGCATGGTCAAACAGAGCTGGAGTTGAGTCCCAGATTTGCTGTTTACAATCCAAGTGACCTTGTCAAATTTTTCATCTAAAATAAGGGATGATAACTTACAGAGGTGGTTTTTTTTCTTTTTTGAAAATTAAATTAGATAATTTTCTTTGTTTTTTTAAAGATACATGGTACTTACTATGGAGTTATACACGTGGGTTTGTTTGTTTGTTTGTTTGTTTTTTTGGTGTGAAAATTATCCATTGTTACCATAGCTTTACATTCTGGGAGCAGATGGAAACATGCCTTACTTGGGTTGTCTTCAACATGGCCCCTGAGCACGTGGTGGCGGTGTCATCTGAGATGCCCCAAAAGAAAGAGGGTCTGGTTCGATGCTATAGGGAAACCAAATGCACTAGGCTTGTTGAAAGCTGGTATGTTTTGTGTGCAGTTGTACCTTCAAAACCATGGAAGCTATACTTGTGGGTGATTCACGGCATTTTCGAGGCTCACCTTGACTCTATATATGTGTGATTTTTGTTTTACAGATTGAACCTTCGAGTCTAACATCTGTCTTTAGGAGGCAATCGCTAACACAGAACAGATCCTTAACCAGTAGTGGTACCTTGAAGGTTTTCCTGTATTTAATGAGTTTGCTGCCATACACCTGGCTATCTGCTTAACATTTCTTAATGTCCTTTATTTTTTATAGGATTTTTTTTTAAAGATTTTATTTATTTGAGAGAGAGAGAATGAGAAATAGAGAGCACGAGAGGGAAGAGGGTCAGAGGGAGAAGCAGACTCCCTGCCGAGCAGGGAGCCCGATGTGGGACTCGATGCCGGGACTCCAGGATCATGACCTGAGCCGAAGGCAGTCGCTTAACCAACTGAGCCACCCAGGCGCCCTCTTAATGTCCTTTATAGAATACAGAGTCTTATTCTTCCTCGGACCAGAGAAAATGTAATACTTCATTTCTTTCTATGGTTTTTCAATTCAGGCTTTGTTTTGTAAATCCCCTTACCCGCCCCCACACACACACACGCACACGCACGCACACGCACGCACGTCCCTGTTACAACATGGGGGGTGTTTAGTTCAGCAGCTTCTCTGATCTTAAACAACTTGCAGAGTTTTCTCAAACTGACTTCCTGTTCTAGCCAAGCAGACTGATCCGTTGAAATATGGTCTTTGGATATCTAAAGGCAGGAGGACTGGGAATTGGCTCTTACCACCGTGCTAGGTTTTTACAGAGTCCATAGGACTCCTGTTTATCATTTGATATATGGAATCACAGAGAAATTTAGGCAATTGAAGGAAACACTTGAGCGGATGTAGAATTACTTTCATTAAATTATCAAGGAATGAGACGAAAACGAATTTTTAGACAAGATCTCCCTTTGAAGGGTGCCCGGAGTTTCTGCAAAGCCCTTGGTAGCTGGTCCTTTAAATGGACTGGTGAGAAAGTGGCCCACTTTGTTTCCGACCTTCCTTGGAATGGCCGGTTCAGAAATTGGAGATTTTTTTTTTTCTCCCTGCTTATACCTGACCTGATTTCATTCTCCTTCTGCATCTTCCACACCTGATTTTATACTGCATAACACACCGGGGAAAATACAAAAAAAACCCAACTCTTTCAATTAAAAAATTTTCTGAAATTCCTGATTTTTTTTTCAAAGAAGTCATCAGTGTCTTGGTTTTTTGTTTTTTTTGTTTTCACTCCAAAGAAGGGCTGTGGAGACAAAGGTGTGGCTTAAGTTCTGCTTCACTTAAACGTTTTCTGTTCAAATTGATCACAGAGCAACAGAAGGAAGCTTCGAGAACTAAGGACAAATAAACCCATAACCGAAGCTTATGAGAACTGATCCCAAAAGATCAGTAAATAAATATTTTAAACTTCCACTGACCTTATTAAAATACACTGCCAGAAATACTCTGTTTGAGCCATTCTCATAAATTAGTCATCTTCTTGCAAAACAGCTGGTGACAGTTTGCTATAGTGGAAAGAAATCAGAAGACTGGGAGATCTTGCCTTGGTTCCGTTCACAGGGAGGTTAAATGACATGCTAACGTGTCCCGGATGAGGAGGCCATGCATGAGAGGACTGAATCAGTTGATCAGTCTTTTTTTTTTAAAGATTTCATTTATTTATTTGAGAGAGAGAATGAGAGAGAGAGAGAGAGAGAGCACATGAGAGGGGGGAGGGGCAGAGGGAGAAGCAGACTCCCTGCTGAGCGGGGAGCCCGATGTGGGACTCGATCCTGGGACTCCAGGATCATGCCCTGAGCCGAAGGCAGTTGCTTAACCAACTGAGCCACCCAGGCACCCCAGTTGATCAGTCTTTAAAAGACTCTCTCATGAGTCTGTGCTCGAAGTTAGAATCTGTAGGAAGAGCTTATCAAGAATGTTTGGGTGAGACTAGAAGCTTCGCCTCCCGCAGCATTGCAGGGTTTACTAAAGGGACTATTATGGTTCCCTCTCTGAGGGCAAATTATGTCCAAGTTCGGGATTCTGTTGCACATAGCGGATCACTATCTGGTTGGCTCAAGCAGAAAGGCCTTCAGCAGCTTGCGGGGTTGTTGGGAGGGCTGAAGAAGCAGACTCTAGGCTGAGTTTCCAGGAGCAACTCCCAAAGCCACAATACAGAACTGGCAGTCGGGGTGGGGGGAGTCTCAAAATCAGGACGCCAGCTGCCCGGCTGGAAAGCTACCCCCTTGGTTACCAACAGGAAATGCCCTGTGCCCTGCCCCCCTGCCCTTGACTCGGGTCCCGATCCAGGTCTTGTCCTCATCTTTCTGATGGGTAGAATCTAAATCTGAGCTCCTAGGTACAGGGGAGTCCTGAGATGACATCTTCCCAACCTCTGTGTCCCAAATGGGGGTTGAAATATACCCTCTGAGAAGCCAATCCATTGTATCCACCGTGGACAATATAGCTACACGTTTATGATAAATAACATTTGTATTTATTTATTTTTTTTTACAATATGCAGAGTCGAATTAAGATCCTTTTTGTTTAGAGCTAATGTCAAGTCCCTCTGTCTCTAAAAATACTATTACTGGCCATTCCCAAGGAAACGTCTCTGATAAAAATTGAGAGCAAGACCTGTATTATTTCCTGGAGAGGCAGACCTGATACAGAAAACAGGATTTGAAATTTGGGATCCTCCTTCCAGATTTGTCTTCTCCACCTTGGTTCTGTTTTCATCCGTGTCTCTTCCTCCACGCCCCCCCCCCCCCATGGGACCATCCTCCACCTTTTCAATTGGATGTGCTCTTTACCACGCAGACCTGTGAACGAAGAGTCAGAGCCGCCCGAGGTCGAGGCTCCCGGCCGGTGGCATGGCGTCTACGTGAACAGAACGTCTCCAACACCTTCAGAATCCACGACCACCGTTAAGTCCCTCATCAAGTCATTTGACTTGGGACGGCCAGGTATTTCATCCTTCTGTCTCATGAGCAAAAGTCACATTCAGACCGTGGCCCCACGTATCAAGCCTGTTTCTACTCCCCACTGGCCCCGAGTGGATGCAACCACAAGGGCTCTGCCTGGATCGTTCCACATGGAGCCGGTGTGTCCAAGAGACCTGCCCACAGCCAACTGCACAGACTCAGTTGCACAGTTCCTCAGTTTCCTAGGAAATGAAGCCTCTGGTTGGCCCAGCTCATTCTCATGAGGCGCTGAGAGGGAAGTGGTAGTTACCTGAGTTTAATGGACACAGAGGCAGAAAAGGAACGGAAGAGGTGCAGAGAAAGAGGAGATTGTGTTACGTATGAGCCAGACTCCTCACTGTCTTTTTGTGTAGTTGGCTTGTCTCGTTGGACCCCCAGCCTTCCTCCCCTCCCCTGTTAGACCTTTCTCTGCGTGGTCTTGTGTGTGAACACCCGTCCTGATCTGTCATTCCTAATCTTGAACATTCGCAGCTTTTTCTAGAAACGTCTCTCTGGCCCACCGTTCACCTTCCTTCACTGTTAACTACATATATGAGAAAAAATGCATGTCTATACACACAAAAATGTAGTAAATAAGAGAAACCGAATACGCATCTGTCCAAAATAGCAATATATTTCTTCTCTCGAGCACAACAGTTATGCCTGTTGTATAGAGAGACTGGAGTCAAAGCTGATGCTAGGATGTACCTGGTTATCTTCGCTAAAATGGTTCGCAGCTCAGTTAGATTAAGATGAGACCACGAATATTAAAAGACGCGAAGGCCCAGTGACTACATTCAGCCCGTGAAGATGGGAAGTGAGTTAACAATAATGGTTTGTGCAAGAACTTTCCTGTTCCTTCTTGCCATAGATGCCTCCTCACATGTGTTTTCTTGTCCCCCGTGTGTCCCACCTCTAAGACCAACCCCCATTTAGTCGATACTTTTGTAGTAACAAATCAGGAGCTACGCTTTGCTATTTGGAACTGGAACAACATAGAAATGTTCCCATCTCTTTTCTTGGCAGGTGGAGCCGGACAGAATATTTCTGTCCATAAAGCCCCCAGAAGTCCCCTGAGTGGGATTCCCGTGAGGACCGCTCCCGCCGCTGCTGTCTCCCCAATGCAGGTATTTTGAGGGCCTTGGGTATGTGGGTGGTGGTCCAGGCCATGTGGAACCGTGATGCTGTCTAATGCTCAGGCAACAGAGGGGAAGCGAAAACCACTTGGTCTATTTTTTGAGGCACGTTGAACATCATTTTTAATAAGCGTAGAATAATAAACTTCTGTTAAAAATTACAATTTTGTGGGGTGCCTAGGTGGCTCAGTCGGTTGAGTATCTGCCTTCGGCTCAGGTCATGATCCCAGGGTCCTGGGATCAAGTCCCACGTCGGTCTCCCTGCTCAGCAGGGAGCCTGCTTCTCCCTCTACCTCTGCCCCTCCCCCCCACTGCTTGTGTTCTCTCTCTCTCAAATAAATAAATAAAGTCTTTTTAAAAATTACAATTTTAGGGCACCTGGGTGGCTCAGTTGGTTAAGCGACTGCCTTCAGCTTAGGTCCTGATCCCGGAGTCCTGGGATTGAGCCCCACATCGGGCTCCCAGCTCAGCGGGGAGCCTGCTTCTCCCTCTGACCCTCCCCCCTCTCATGCTGTTTTTCTCTCGCTCGCTCTCTAATAAATAAATAAATAAAATCTTTTAAAAAATTAAAAAATTACAATTTTGAGGCTAAATAAAGGTGTGAGAGAGACACCATAAGTCTCATACGATTTGTTAAGGACATTTTGTCCCCCATAAGATACATTTAAAGTTTTCAGTTGAAGATTATAATTTTTACCAGAAGTCGATATTGAACTAGAAATTTTTCTCAAAGAAGTGTTTGGTTTGGTTTGGTTTGGTTTCCTAAAGCACCCCAGAGAGAGAAAATGTTTACAATTTATAAATTCTTAGAGTTCACTGGTTGCAATCTGTGTCACCTTTACCATCTTCGGAAGGTTCTAGATCAGAGCTTCTTGACCTCTTGGCATTTTTTCTCTTTCTTTTTCTTTTTTTTTTAATTTTATTTTTAAGTAAAAAAAAATATTTTGCACCCAACATGGGCACTCACAACCCCAAGATCAAGAGTCACACGCTCCACGGACTGAGCCAGCCAGTCACCCCTCTTGGCGTTTTCTAAGACCACGACTTTCAGTGTTATTAGTAACATTCAGCAGCTGCTGCTGAACTAAGGGCAGCATCATTCACAAGTACCCTCTTTTGGTGTCCTTAGTAGCCATGTATGTTGTTTGGGATCTTTTAAATTCTTCTTGTTTTTACTTTTTTGCCCTGGAAGATATTTTGTGCCACTTCATATATAAAACCAAGTAAAACAATTACTTATTTTATAATAATCATCAAGTTTATTAAATGAAACTGAAACAGACCATGCTTCATTTTGACTTATTTTCATTGAGCTAGACACACTAGGTTGCTGACAAAATGTTTAACAACTGGCTCCTTGCCGGGGGTGGGGGTGCGGGGGGAGCCCGGGTTTGTGATGTTGGCCAGTTTCCATGGTGCAAATATTCCCATCATTGTCAGCATCAAGCTAGCCCCCTGACATCGGTGAACATGGAGTTAAGAAGAGATGTGTATCACATGGTATTTCTAGACTACAGGTGGAGGTGGGTGTAAATAACCCCAATCATAGTGTGAAGTATAATAAATAGGAAGCATTTTGAGTATTTAGTACTTTTGCTTTTAACATAGTTTCATTTTAATAGTGGCCGTGTTGAAAACTAGCTTGCAAAATTCCTGAAGATTTAACAATTGGCCCTTATGCGCAGGTACACACCACCACTATAATTCATGTATAAAGTAAAGCACACGCCTCTTCCGTATATACAGCTTGAATGTTTCCGTACACACACACCCGTGTAGCCAACACTAAGATAAAGCATTTTCATCAGCTCAGAAGGCCCCCTCATGCCACCACCCAGTGGGTAATCCCTTAAAGTAGCCGTCATTCTGACCTCTATTAGCATTAGATTAATGTTACACTGACCTAATCAACGTAAAAGAGAGTGAGTTAGAGGCGCCTGGGTGGCTCAGTTGGTTAAGCGTCTGCCTTCGGCTCAGGTCATGCTCCCAGGGTCTTGGGATCGAGCCCCATGTCCTCCTTGCTCATGCTGTCTTCTTACTCTCTCTCTCTCTCTCTCTCTCTCTCTCTCTCTCAAATAAATAAATAAAATCTTAAAAAAAAAAGAGAGAGAATGAGTTAAAAAATCTCCCATGCTCCGTAGCCCCAAAATAACCACTGTTTATGGCTTGTTGTGTATCCTTCTAGATGTTTTTCTTCAGTATAAAAATGTGTGTGTGTGTGTAGGGAGGAGGAGAAAGTTTTATAAATTGGATTATACTGCACGTTGTTCAGACACTGACTCATTTCACTTTGTCCTTGGAATGTAATCCCTGAGGGCAGGGATTTTTTTTTTCTTAAGACAGAGAGAGTGGGTACATGTGTGCGCATGTGAGCAGGGGGTAGGGGGTAGAGGGAGAGAGAGAGAGAATCTTAAGCAGGCTCTACACCCAGCACAGAGAGGGCAGGGATTTTTATCTATTTTTGCTTGCTGTTATATCTCTTGTCTGGAACAGTGGCTGGCACACAGTTCTATCACAGAGAAGCTGGGTAGATGTTGAAAGAATGAAGGAATATATCAGAGACATCTTGAGATGTCAGTGTTTGGAGAATAACGCGTTCTTAAAGGCTATGGAATGTGTAGTGTGATCTGTTTAACCACTCCTCTATTGATGGGCATGTAGGTTGTTTTGGATTGCAAAAACAATACAGTGAAATCCCTTCTGTGGATTTTCACCCACTTTTAAGGGGCTCTTCCCACAGGAGAGCGTATCACCATTAGCTTGCAAATACCGGAAATCACTCTAGCTCGTTCCCGCAGAAAGGAATTGAATACAGGGAGAACTCTGGTCTCCACTGCGCTTCCAGGAAAGGTTCCCAGAACATCTAAAAGTTGGCCCATGAAAGGGACTTCTATTTCTGCCAAGTCTTTCTCTAAGGGCTTGCCTAGAACTGCGGCTTCTGTCAAAATTTAGCATCCACTTTAGGCTCCCACCGCCACAGACACGGTCCCTCCCAGCATAACAGATACCGTCCTCCCAGGTTTGTTCACATTGTAGCACGTGTGACCGGATTTCCTTCTTTTTAAGGCTGAATGATATTCCGTTGTGTGTACAGACCACATTTTGTTTATCCAAATCATTGGTCCGTGGACGTGAAGGTTGTGCCCACCACTTGGCTATTGGGCCTAATGCTGCATGCAAAAATCTCTTCTAGATTCTGTTTTCGGTTGTTTTGGGTATACCCAGAAGTGGGACGGCTGGATCATACAGGAGCTCTGTTTTTAATTTTTTGAGGAACCTGCCTACTGTTTTCCATTGTGGATGCAACATTTTCTAGTCCTGCCAACAGGGCACAAAAATTCCAATTTTTCCACATTTTTGCCCACACTTGTTTTCCCTCTCTCTCTCTCTCTCTCTCTCTTTTTAAATAATGACCCTCCTAACAGATGCCAAGTGGTATCTCATTGTAGTTTTTCATTTGCATTTCCCCGATGATGAGTGAAGTTGAGCATCTTTCCATATATACCTGTTGGCCATTAAAAATCAGCATTTTTACACACCCCCTTGAATATATGTAGAATTTTCCAGGAAGGTACTCACAAAGCTGACTACTAATGATTACCCCCAAAGAGAAGAACCAGGTCATGGGAGTCAGAGGGACACTCTTCTCACTATATGGCCTTTCTGTGCCTTTTTGAGCATTGTGTCAACTGCGTTTGTTACCTATTCAAATAAATAAGTTGTTTTAAAAGCTTCCCCTGGTGATTCTGATGAGCTTGAGAGCTGTTGTGTGGACGCGCGCACACACACACCTTGTTTATGCTGTTCCTGGTGTCACAAGCTCACCTCTGCTGGTGTGCCCTTTGGTTTTTTAGAGACATTCAACCTACAGCAGCGTTCGGCCGGCCAGCAAAGGTGTGACTCAGCGTTTGGATCTTCCAGACCTTCCCCTCTCAGGTAATACCTTAAACACAAATTCATTGGATGCCTGGGTGGCTCAGTCGGTTAAGCATCTGCCTTCGGCTCAGGTCATGATCCCAGGGTCCTGGGATCGAGTCCCGCATCCGGCCCCTTGCTCAGCAGGGAGCCTGCTTCCCCCTCTGCCTGCCGCTCCCCCTGCTTGTACTTGCTCTCTCTCTCTCTGACAAAGAAATAAATACAGTCCTTAAAGAAAAACAAAACAAAACAGAAAAACAAAAAACAGCAAATACTTTCAACTCGTTATTTTGTGAGGTTAACTTTTCTTCTTTACCCAAAACCGAGCTTAGAAAAATAGTTGATGGCATTTATTTCAAACAATTTAAGACTACGTGTTTGTGTTCTGGACGTTAGATCCTACTTCCTGCCTCTGTACTTCTCAGTGTGCATATGTTCGGGAGAAGTGTCTAGCTTTCGGGAGGTTTTTTGTTTGTTTTTTACAGGATCTCAAGAGAATATCTTACCATCTTTAAAAGTAACTATTTTTAGAAAAAAATCTTATCTGATTCTGAAGGTCTCTTGCTTCCACAATTCCTAAAATATGCCTCTTCGCTGATATCTTTGCCCTTGAGTGTAGCCCTCCTCCTGTTGCTACTCTGGGTATTTTTAAAATCCAGATCCTGACGATGACGTGGTGGTTAGAATCCACAATCCTCCATGTCACCTTGTCACTCCTGCGCCTTGCGTGCTGGTGGCCGATGTGAAGCCGCAGTTACAGAGGGGGGCACACGGGTGGGCTTATATCTTGGCCCCCATTATTCCGCTTCTCTGGGCTGTGGTTTCATCATCTCCGAAACAGAAATAGTGCTGTCTCCCTCAGAGGATCGCTCCAGGGGCTGAGCGAACACAGCCGGGTGTGGGGTGAGCAGAAGGGTTGACCTTCACCTTAGCTTTTCTTCCCTTTCCCGTCAGTTCACCTGTCAGAACAGAGAGGCATGAGTGGAGTGGTAAGCTTGTCCCGAAAATATGCCTCAGAAATGTATGTCCATGACCCTGTGGCCCTTGTTGTAAGTCAACACAAAAGATGAACACTAAATGAATTATTTACTGGTGCCTATTGGAAGAAAGCCAGAAATCCAGGTTGCATCGATAGAAATCCCTTGTTTTTAAGCGTCACACCAAATTTCTGTAACACAGCTACGGAAGCAAAAGGAATTCCCACTGTTCTTCTTTTAGATTATGGTCAAACATAGGTTTATTCTGAAAATAGTTGTTTCTATGAGATAAGTTTCACTTTTTGACTGGAAAGTCTTTTACCTCACCACCTTATTTTTTTCCACTTCTGAATTTCGTTTTCTTTTTCATGGCACAAGAGGATTCTAGACTTAAAGATATTGAGATATTTAGACTCACTGGTATTGAGAATTTGAAGACTACCTTAGCCCATCCCTTGCATTTTACATGTGAGAGATTCAAGCCCTACAGAGATTAAGTGATTTACAATGCCCACCGCCCCCCCCCCCCCCCCGCTCTGGGACCAGGATAGGATTTCTTCTGATTCTTTCTACCATGCTGCCTTTTGGTAATGAGGCGGGGGATTACTCTGATCAGCAGCCTCATAAAGAAGTGATAAAAGTGTCTTATAGCACTTGGAGTCATAATAATGACTCCAAGGAAGAAGGAAATGGTGTCTAAGGGCAGGAGAATAAGAAAAAAACAGAAGGGGTGAGTAAGTCCAGCAGAGCAGGTCATGATATTTCTGTGCAAACCGAGCACTCCCTTCCTAGAAATGGAAGGGAGGTCAGCACAGGGTGTTGGAAACCCACCTGATTTGCATTCTCTACGCTTGCTGTGTAGTGGAAATTTGGGGATAACTTGGTTATGTGCACAGTGATGTGTACCTAGGCAAGCCTTTTTTTTTTTTTTTTTTGTAATTGTGGCTAAAATACACGTAACACAAAACGTTCCATCTTAACCACGTTGAAGTGTACCAGGTGAGCTTTCGGTCATAATATTTGTGTCTCCTCTATGCCTCCCACTTTACCTTTTGTGTGAAGAAGCTGTTGTTTTAATTGACAAGCTAAATCCTGGTGCTCAAACCACAGTAGCTATTGCCCTGAAGTAAACAGTTCCTTGTCAGCGCCCCTTCCCCCTTGGCCCCCACCAGGCACCTGTCTACCCGGATGATTCTATCTACTATACTAAAAAAGGATTACACGGTAAAAGCTGCTTTGCTTTCAGGCTAGCCTTGCCAGCTTTGAGGTCATCAGAAGCTGCCAAAACGGGATTAATGCACTGTTTTTGTTGTTCTCTTTAGTGATGTAAGCACTGTTTTTCCTCTCCTCTTCCAAGCTCATTAGCCTCACTCCCTGCTTCACGCCCCATAATTGGCGGCACTTAGCCGTACAAGTATTGTTTTCTTCCATCACTATTTATGGTGTCATAGGAGGTGACCGTGGGCCCAGCCTGGTCACAGAGGCCTGTCGTGTGGCATTGAGCAAGTCACCCCATCCTCTGAGCGCCTGTTGCCTCTGTCAATACAAACCAGACACTCTGGAAATTTCTGTGCTCTTGTGGTCCTTGAGGGACTGTCATCTGGAGGATTCAGCCTGTTTCATTAACCTGTTTTGACTCCTACTAAAACAGCAGAGAGGAGCCTTCAAAGAATGTACGTTTGCTTATTTTTAGCAAGCCAGACCCTATGACTGGAGTGGCTTTTTTTTCTTGTAAAATCGTTGCCATTCTTGGTACCCAGGTTTTTGTCTGCTGCCACCTGTGACTTGAAAATCCCATTGGGCATCTTCCTGCCAGCTCTCTGTCTCTCTCAGATGCCCATCGACTAAAACAAAGTGCTTTACTTGGGAACAGGGCTGGCTCTGTGGGGGTCTGGGCAGGGTGCTTAGAAGGGCTTTGGCTCAAGGCTCTGCGGGTGCCATCTTGAAATTCTTAATTTTTGAATGAGGGGCTAATTTGGCATTTGTGTCTATGAATTATGCAATCAGTCCTGCCTGGAGAATCCTTTCTAGAAAAGGCCATGTCCCTATGTGCATTTTTATTCCTTAATCCAGAAACTCTCTAAATCTATATTTATTCCATATTTGTACCTAGGAAGAAAATGAGAATTCTATTGTACTTGAGAAGAAAGTGTGATGATCATTCAAATTTCTCTTCTTCAGGAATAGGTGATTATGTTGTTCTTCACACAGATCTCCTAAAGGGAAGGGGTGAGGACCTGAAACCGGACCCTTATCTCCGGAAGAGTCCCTCCCTGGAGTCTCTGAGCAGACCCCCTTCTCTGGGCTTCGGGAACACGAGGCTGCTGAGCGCTTCCACCGGGGGCTTGAAACCACAGAGCAAACTCAGGTATCACATTTTATACAGTGAGACATCACTGGGCCGATGACCTTGTAGTCTTCCTTCTGTTTTACCCCCTGTGGTCAGTTTACTTGATGTATATTTCCTGAGTGAAACCAGACACAGTACCTGCCTTCAATGAGGGAGGAGGGCCCTGGACAGCAGGACTGTGCAAAGCGAAAAAAGGGCTGTAAAAACAGAAATACATGCAGACTCTTGCGGGGGGTTGTTAACTTGGGTCAAGGAGTCTGGAGGCGGGGAGGCAGCATTTCTGCCAGGGGGCCTGCAGGGCGCCCCGGAGGAGCTCTGCACAACATTCAGGGGACTGGGGGTGGTTTCCTTTGGTTAGACTAGCCTGGGGGCTTCAGGAGGGGAGGGGCCCTGGCAGACACACCATCAGCAGCTGGTATCTGCTGGGGAGGCGGGTAGGTGCTCAGGATATCACGGCTGGAAAGGCGGGTTGGAGTCCCCTTGCGAATGGTCTTCATTGCCATGGTTAGAGGTTTGTACTCATTTTGGTAAAGCAGTGGGGAACCCCTGAGTTTGCAGGATTTGGATCTGGAGTAGTGGTCCAGGAAAACAGTGACGTATAGGAAGGATTGGAGGGGCATTTTGAAGTCAGCGTCGAAAGAGCACATTAGCAGTGACGTGAGAGGTGGAGTGGGGGCGAGAAGGGACAGAGACTGCCAGGGCGGCCACCAGAGGCCTGGCATGGCTCCCACCCCTGCCACATCCTCCCTCTTCAGTGCCCCTGCTCCCCCAGACCCCAGCAAGCCGCCTCCAGCCACTTCCCACCCTCCCCTCGCCCACTGCTTCTCCCTGTGGAGTCCGTCTTCAAAAACATGGAGTGCATCCCGTGCAGACCTTCTCAGAAACCTCCTGTGACTCGTCATGCGCCCTTCCACCCACGCTCCTCGTTCCGCTCCCTCCGGTCTGCGCGGCTTAGCCCCACCCGGCTCACCTGCCACTTTTATTCTCCGCCTCTGCAGCTAACACGAGCATTTGCCACCACTCACAGGGTCCTGGCCTGAGTTGTCTCCCCCCTGTCCTTTCACACTCCTAAGTGCTTCCCCTGCAAAGTCAAACCTTCCCGTGTCCCAGTGGCTCAGTCGGTTAAGCGTCTGCCTTCGGCTCAGGTCATTGATCCCAGGGTCCTGGGATCGAGCCCCGCATCGGGTTCCCTGCTCAGTGGGGAATCTGCTTCTTCCTCTGCCTCTGCCCCTCCTCCCCGCTCGTGCTGTCTTTCTCTTGCTCTCTCTGTCCCTCCGAATAAATAAATAAAATTAAAAAAAAAAAAACAACCTTCCACGAGGTGGTAGCGAGCCACCCGAGTGGCATCAACACCCCCTTTCTCTGCCTTCCGTGTCTTACGCCGATTCGGGTACTTAATGCACTGTTGCATCGCGTGTGTGCCTTTGTCCCCATTTATTTAGGCTGTACTTTAGTACACAGTAAATATCTCAACTCACACTTTGATCTCTTCCCCGGCCCCCTGGGCCATGCTACACACGCAGCATTGCATCCAGCCGGTGCGTTGGAATGGGTAGATGGATGAATATACACAACTAGCCACTTTGGTAGTAACGGCTACGTAACAAACATTCTAACTCCCGTTATGAGTATTGTAGAAGGATTTTATGAAAGTCTGAATAAGTTCAGCTCTTGTCATATCTTTGGGTGTAGCTTATATTTGGACCCAAATAGATGAAGTCATATCTTTCAGAGATTTAACTTAAAGCCCCAGATACTGCATATTAGCCTTGTTTATGCACAGGAGATTTAAGTGATCAAAACTAGTTTTAAGGACCAGAATTAGTGCTTTCCTGAAACTGCTCTTTTCTTTATGCCAGAAATGCGTACCAAGAGGCTATGTGTGTATTAATATGCAATTTATATTATACCCTTCATCATGAAAGATTAAATTAGTGGAGATTAATGTGTTATTTTATTTTTGTATTCACGTCATTGAGACAAACAAATGACAGGATAGAAATCACTTGTTTTGGAAGTTCTCATCCTATTATTATTAATTTGGAGAGCGCATGGTATCTATTTAAACTTATTTTTTAAAGAAACCTGTTCAGTTAGTATTTTGGGCATCCACAGATACAGAAACTCTTTTCCAAACCTTCATTTCAATCTTCCCTAGTTTGTCAGACCTAGAAATTCAGTTCTAAGTGATGAGGTAACAAACACAGGCAAAGTTACTGTAACTTCATAGTTAACAGTGACTCTGACCACAGAAACTCTCATGGACTTAAGTTGACAAATATGCCAAGGTGCAAGGGACAATAGCCATCAAATTACACAAAAATTTTAATTCAGTTATGACGTTCTCTTAAAAATCTCTCTGCCTTAATTCAGATTGCTGAGGTCTGGAATCATCCCGTTACTCCTTAAAAATATTTTAAAATACTTTTATTAAGGGGCGCCTGGAGTGACTCATTCAGTTAAGCGGCTGCCTTTGGCTCGGGTCGTGATCCCAGGGTCCTGGGAGCCTGCTTCTGCATCTGCCCCTCCCCCCCCCCGCTCGCTCGCTCACTCTCAAATAAACAAAATCTTTTTTTAAAAAGTATTTTTATTAAGTATCAGAATGATACAAAATAGTAACAATAAAATATGTGTAAGGCATAAAGAACAACAATGCAGCTGGATATCGACCTTCCAGTTTAAGGAAAAGAAAATTATTATTACCATTGAAATTTCCTGTCAGCCCCCTTCTCTGCCCCACTCCAAGGTCATCACTGTCTCTATGATATATGTCGACCTCTGCTTTTCTTTCCCAGTCTCAGTGTGTATGCTTGTATCCCCAAACAATAGCAACAATATATTACTACACTGAAAATTTTATATACATGGACACATGTTGTGGTTTTTTTCTTTTTTTATTTCAGAATTGTTCCTGCTGTTCGTTCAAGTTACTGCATACACCTGTAATTCATCAGTTTTTATTGCTGTATAGTATTACATTGTATGAGTACACCACCGTTCACCTATTTTCCTGAGGATGTACATTTGATTGTTTCCAGTTTTGTAGTATAAAAAAGTGCTGCTATGAGCATTCTTGAATATGTGCTCTGATGATATATATATCTAGGGGTAAATCCTGTTTCACGGGTTTCGAATTGCACGGGTCCACTCGTGGATTTTTTCTGACAAATACAATACAGTAATATATATTTATTTTTTCTTTTTTATGATTTTCTTAATAACATTTTCTTTTCTCTAGCTTACTTTATTGTAGGAATACAGTGTACAATATACATAACATACAAAATATGTGTTCATCAACTATATGTTATCAATAAGGCTTCCTGTCCACAAGTGGGCTGTTAGTAGTTAAGTTTGGTGGGGGGGGGGTTCAAAAGTTGTACATGGATTTTCAGCTGTGTGCAGGGTCAGCACCCCTAATCCCCATGTTGTTCGGGGGTGAATGTACTCTTAAATTGTTGCCTATTAACAGTTGATGTTCCAGAGATGCATCAACTGTTTTATTTCTGCTCTCCTCCTGCATGCTGTTCCAATGCTGGAGGAATATAATTCTCAGTTCATGATAGTCATCATGGAAGAAACTGTGTGATCTTAAATCCCTTGGTAGTATGTGGATAATCTTCGGTAGTGTAAAGATTAACAGATGTCTACAGCAAACTGAGAACGGGACACCTAAAGCTCTTGCTCTTAGAATGCTATCGTGTATTAGTTAGTAAAATCATTTCCTTTGGCTAAACAGGTGCTCAGAATTGAGTTAATGTAGCACAAACTGAGGAGTGCTACCTTTGGTGTGTGCAAAGACCCTCTTTTGAGTCGTTTATACTGATTTTCATCATGCATCTCCCTTCCCAGCACTTCTCCATAAGCAGCCAATCTGGTGTTTTTAAATGCCCGTTCGGTCTACCTTTTATGTGTTATGTAGACATAGGTGAAGCCTTGAAACTTGCGGAGTATTTCTTTCTATAGTGTCTTTAATTAAAATGATACTGTACTTAAGTAAATAAAGGGCTGGATGGATGGAGCCAACAGATGGATTTAAAAAACAAAACAAAACAAAACCAGCCTCTTTCCAGACTTCCGATAGCCAAGAAATGTACAATTCAATTTTTCTTTCATATCGTGAAACATAAAATGAAATGTATCATTGATATGACTGATTTGGTTGTTTCTCTTGAGTCTCCCTGGATAGACCTAGACTTTTGCTTTTCTAATCTAGTTATTTATTTCATATATACTTGAGGGTTCTAAACATTAGCATCTTCTCTTTACTCTGTGCTCTTCTTTCTAACCAGCGTGGAAAGAAGAGACCCGCTGGCTGCCTTGGCCCGGGAATATGGCGGCTCCAAGCGCAATGCTCTCCTGAAATGGTGCCAGAAGAAAACAGAAGGCTACGCGGTAAGTGACAGCGTCGGCCAACCTCCAGCCAGCCCTGGGCAGCAGCAGTCCTATGCCCGTATTGGTCCTGTGCATGCATACGCTTGGCGTATAATTGTTGTCCTTCCGTTCTCCTAGGGAGGGCTGCCAGTGGTAGTAGAGTTTGCTGTGGTGCCCAGACAGAGGCAAGTAGGACTGAAGGCCAGTCCACCCAACAAACCATGGACCTCAGTGCAGGTCTGCGTCTCCTGCAGGAAGGGCCAGCTTTTTCTTTGCTCAGAGGAGCTATGAACTCTGCAAGCATTGCGCCCAGCAGGCTGCTTCAGTCCAGGGAAGGCAGCTTTTGCCAAACCACCTTCCCGAAGAGGGTGCCTTTCCCTAATTGACACAAAGGCCCCACTTAGGTGGCCCTTCAGAAGTTTTCTGTTACTTTGGGGCTGTTTGCATTTGAAGTTTCAGTTTATCAGGACAGTATTTGTCTTCTGGGAAGGTTACACGAGGAAGTAGTACTTGATAGAAGTGTAAGCTTTGTTATATGAAGTATCATCTAGAAAGATAAAAATTCATCAAGTATAAATTACAGTTTTATGGATTGCTATGAAGTGAAAACCCAGGCCGTCACTACTCCCATCCAGAAATAGAGCATTGTCAATTTCCCCAAACCTTCCGTGTGACTTTTTGATCCTACCCCCTTCCCACTCCCAAAGACAACTGTTGTCCTCAGTTCTTTTCCTCGTGGTTTTCCACAAAAAGCAGGCATCCCTGAATGCTCTGTTAGTTTTGCCTGTACTGGAACTTTCCATAAATGCAATCAAAAACTGTCCTGTCTGCATCCAGCTTTCTCCTATGGTGTGAAGTTATCAAGGCTTATCCAGTTCGTTCATTTTCTAACCCCTTTGGAACCTATTATGTGATCACACCCATTGCCTGTTGAGCCCTTCCATTCTTGCTGGACAGATGAGTTATTTCCAGGCCGGAGCTGTCGTGATGTGGTGCTGGTCCGTTTTTGTGCGTGTCTCTCAGAACACAGGTGCGCTCATTCTTTCTGGATCCACACCTAGAAATGGAGTCACTGGGCCATCGGGTGTGCCTATATCCAGGCATGGTAGATAGTGCCAAACAGATTTCTGAAACAGTTATACAGTTTACCTCCCCCCAGCAAGTGAGGAGGGATCATTTCTCTGCATTTTCACTGACAGCACCAGTCTTGGTACTCCCAGTCTTGGGATACGTGTGTAGAGGTATCTCACTGCGGTTGGGATCTGCACTTTCCTGCTGGCTCATGAGGCTGAGAACTTTTCCACATGCTAACTGGACATCTGGGTAATCGCTTTGGGGATGTGCCCGCCCTGTCTCTTGCCCATCTTAAAATCAGGTTGTCTGTCTTTCCCCTCTTGCTTTCAGGAGCTCTTGGTATATTGTGGGTACCCGTCCTTTGTCAGATAGACGTATTGCAAATATCTGCTCCCAGGGTGGCTTGAATTTTTGCTTTTTTGTTGCACAGAGTCTTTCATTTTAATGAAGTCTCATTTATCCGTCTTTTCCCAGTGGTTAGTGCTTTTTGCGTCCTGTTTCAGGAATCTTTGTCTGCTCCAAGGACACAAAAATGTTCTCCGGTGTTTTCTTCTGTAAGGTGGATTGTGTTCCCTTTCCCATTAAATAGCCACCCTCTTTAAAATTGCCGTCTCCAGCGTGCCTGACTGGCTCAGTTGGGGGAGCATGTGACTCTTGATCATGGGGTCATGAGTTCAAGCCCCACTCTGGGTGCAGAGATTACTTACGTAAGTAAGTAAATAAATAAATAAATTTTAAATACTAAAAATAAAATAAAATTCCCATCTCCTCCCTTCTCGCCACTCAGACCCTGCTTTCCCATACGTTTACCCTACTTTTCTAAGGATTCTGAAGATTCTGGCACCCCAGCACTCCTTCCCCAACCTTAAGCTTTGAGGGGGGCGGGGACAGAGAAAGAAAGAACCGAGCAACAGCCAGGAGCAGCCCTGATACTTGAGCAGCAGCAGAGCTGGGATTGTCTTTGTAATAGCAGGAGTCAAGGGTCTTAAAATCAGATTCTACCCAAGAATAGAAGTGTTTTTTTGTCTTTGACATTACCTTTTTTTTTCCCCGGTTCCTGCTAAAAAAGAAAAAAAATTAGTCGGGTTAATGGCCCATAAGAGAGACTCCCAGAGGACGAGCTTTGTTTCTGATGCATTGTTTTCTCCTTTAGCTGCTCTGTGCGCTCCCCGCTTCAGCCCACTCTGAGGGTCGAAACCATCCCATAAAGGCAAGCCATCCCAACAAGGGCATCCCTCGGCATGTCAGCCACGCTGCTGAGGAAATGGAAAACCTTAAGGAGTTGGGGAGAGAAAGCTGATTCCAGGAGGCTCTAGGGTAAGGGACAGAAAACTGAAGCTCAAAAAGGCCAGGAATAAGGTCTTGGCCATGGCTTGAGCCACACGTGGTCACAGACACTTGACTGAGCTGTCATTTCCCCACCTTACAGAAATGGATCAAGGGAAGTGCAAGATGGACAGGAAAAGACAATTAAAATTTCCAGAAGGAATTGGCCCTTTGGCATGTAGTGTTATTATAATTAGATTGCAGGGAGGGATTATACAATCAGCTATTTCCCATCATCAGAGTGAGAATTATATTTCCTGCTGTAGTGAGTTTTTGTTTTGTTTTGTTTTGTGAACATCTTGAACTAGTTTTCAAAGCATTTTACGCTTGATGAAACCCAAAACTCATTCTGCCTGAAGAGTATTTTTCATTCGTTGTTAAATCTCTGTAAATTTAGAGGGAAACATAAATCATATGTGTCTAATTTATTTACTCCTCACAAAATATCCTCTGTCTAGACCTGTTTGTCTGAGACGCCTCCTAAGCCTTCTGAAGCTTGTTCTCTCCGACTCAGGAAGCCAAAAATAAATTGTAGAAAACTCAGACAACTCAGTTAAAAAAAAAAAAAAAAAGCCAGTAATCATGTGCATTTTCACTTGAAAGAACTTTCTTTTTAGCTCACCAAAGTATAGCACGATAGGTTCTGTCAAAACTCTCCATATATTAATTCAGTGAATTTTTATGGAGGGGCCTGTTTGGTGCCACATTATATTTTAGGTTCTGGGAAATCAGGAGCGAACGAAGCAGGCAGAATCTCTGGTCTCGTGGAGCTTCCATCTTCACGGGGACTGACGATTCAAATTAAAAAGTAAAATACATACTATATTAGAGTGTACTGTGGAGAAGAGTCGGGGTAGGAGGCTTAGGAGTGCTGGGTGTCTGAACACCGCTGTCATACGAAGGTCAGGGAGGTGACATTTGAGCAGTGGCTCACCTTCCCTGAGGAAGGGAAAGAAGACTTGCATCTTTTCATCAAGGTTTATCCCGTGCCAGGTACTAAGCTTGGAAGGTCGGAATGAGGACATCATCACTTTAGCAACTGCATCAGTTGGAATTTAAGTATCATGGGGTGGCAGCTCTGAAAAGTTAGAACAGTGGGTCACACCCACTGCTGAGCCCCAGATTGAGCTTTGGGCATGTTGAGGTAGCCCCAGGACTGAGATCCAGGAACATGAACACGCACTCCAGCGTGAGGCCCGCACTGGGCTTGAAGTGGCTCTGAGCAAGGAGGAGACCTTTCTAGACATTCTACTGAACTCACATTTCCTTGGATTTTTTTTTTTTTTTTTTAAGTCAGGCTTCCAGGAAGGCCTTGCAAATTACTCTCAAGTCTGCAGGCTGCCTATTAACTACATCCCGAGCCAAGGTTAGATCGGACCCATGGAACCCTACATATCTCCCTTTTTTAATCTGCTTTTAATTCCTTCTTTGGGGTTATGACAGAAATTTGCATCTCTCATGTAAATACCAGAAAGGGTTCTCAAGGGGGCCAGGAGACAAGATGATGGATGTGATAGGCAGAATTCTAAGAATGACCCCCAGTAACCCTCACCCTTAAATAATCTCCTCCTTATCTATGGCAAAAGGGAGATGATCTGGGTAGACCTAACACATGAACCCTTGAAAAGCCGGAGTTTCCTCTGAAGCATCATAAGGACTCAGTGCACCATTGGTGGGCTTGAAGATGAAGGGGGCCCATCAGGAGCCAAGAGAGGTCCCTGGCTGATAGCCAGCAAGGAAACCAAGACTTTCTAACACTAAGGCTTTGGGAGTGCTGAAGTCCTACCAATACCCAGAAAACACTATGGGGGCGCCCCGTGGTTGTGAAGTCAACCAGTTTGGCAATGGGGTGTCCTCTGTCATTTCTCTCCCTGTCCTGAAGCCCGCAGACCTCAGCGAGGCTAAGGATGATCAGGGTGCTTGGCCTTCTGCCCTCCCTTCGCTGAGGGACCTGGCCTGGGACGCACCCTGATGAGTGGGTGGAATTCAGCTGTAAATCTCTGCAGAGTCCTTGTCCCTCCCAAGAAGGGTGATGAGGCACAGCCACCCCACATGTCAGCAGGTGGCCCCTTGGCTGTGTTCCTAGGGCCCTGCCGTGCCCTGGCCAGTGTGGTCAACACCGGTGATTTATTTGGTGGAGGGCATAGGTAGGGATTGCCTACATCTCACCTACCTCTCCAAAGCTAGAATCCATAACTTTTAGCATGGTTTAACTGGCTGAGTTTTAAGGTTTTAATGGCCTCAGACTTCAAGTGTCAAAGCATTAGAGTAGTGTTATAGTAACAAGAAATATGTAAAGTGATATTTAAGTTCCCTCCTATAGGACATATAATTTGAAAACAGTTTGGCTAGAAATGGCCAATTATTTGTATTGCTTTCGAAGTCACTGGTATAGTTTTCTTTTGCTGTGTAACGAAGTCCCAGGCTCAGTGACTTAAAACACCTGTTCGTGGGCTCACAGTTCTTAGAGGTCAGAAGTCCAGCACGATGTAGCTTGGAATCTGGTGTCAGCTGGGCCATGTTCTCACCTTGGAGGCTCTGGGGAAGAATCCACCGGTGTCTTTCAGGCTGGTGACAGGTTCCCTGCGGCTGTAAGACGGAGGCCTCCGTTTTCTCGTCAG